AGTGGCGGGCTGATTGTGTTGTTCCAACCATGCCTCATGATTTAAGAGAAGTCCCAGTATATCATTAATAGTAAGAAAATCAAAATCAGTCCTATTGGTGATCACAGTGACTAAAGGGGGTTATCAGAAATAGCTGCTAGGCTGTCGGCAATTACCTTGGCACTCTTAACATACTCGGTTATCAATTCTGACCCTTTCTTGATGCTCTGCAGTTGTCGCTTTAGATGAAGAGCTCTCGTCCTTGAGATGGTGGAGTAGGTTGCAGATAGGGCCTTCCAGACTTTGGCTGATGTGGTCAAACCGATCACTTCTGTCACCACACTCTCAATGATAGAAGAAATGATCCACCCGAGAACAAGTTGATCCAGCTGCACCCAGTTATCATATTCTGGGTTCATCACTCTCTATCCATCAGGACCATCGATGTGGGTTGGAGGAGCTTGCATGGTTCCTTCTACGAGACCAAGCAATTTGTGAGTTCTGAGGACTGGAATCATCTGCGCCCTCCAAGGTAAGTTGTTGTCATGACTCAACTTGATGGGAAGTGAATGGGAGATGTTGGGGACGTTGATCACTGATGTTCCCAACACAAAACTCAAGAACTGTTTGGAGCTTCCTGTGTTTGAGCTTGCTGCCGAGTGCACACCATTATGAGCCATGGGTCTAATACAAAGTTGAGATAAAAGAACTGAAAACAAGAAAATAATTTGGGATCAAGAATAATGTCAATAATGTTAAATACAATCAGACGTATGGTATTTATAGATGAATTGTTTACACTGAAATGGAGTTCTACAAGGAATGAAATAATCACAGAGTGGGATAGTTACAATAGGATTAGGATAGAGATTATCCTAAGTAGTAGATAGGGATTATCCTAGGAAGATAGATCCGAATCTCCAGAGGACTCTTGATTCCCATTATCCTTAACAGCACCGAGCTTCTATTCTCTTGGATAGTCATTCAGATTAGCTAGGCACAGTTTGGAAAAAATACAAATACATACAAATATGTACAGTTCCAATACAAGGTTTTACACTATATTTTTATCTTTACTCCTTCCAAACTGAGTCTTAATTCCAAAATCACCTATCACAATTCACTAACTTAAGATCACGAGCCAGTAAAATACCCTTCCATGCATGTATGTGGCCTATATTGCATTTGAATCTGGCCATTTACAGTAATGACAAATTTAGCTAAATCAATTAATGTAATTAAGCATACATATATAATAACCTTGTTCCACCATCACAGTTAATATTAAAATAATTCAGTTTCTTGTTAGTTGGATGAAATATGAGAGCGTCCCCCTGGTTCATATCATGAGTAAGGCATCCGTATATATTGGCCCTGTCAAATGTCTGTCAGATGATAGAACACCAACCACCAACCAGTTAATAAATCGTGAAATCAATCAAGTGGATTAAAACTGGTATTATTGTATTAAGAACTAAAGTTCAGAGTCCAGAAACAAGAGATTTCCCGAGTTACCTCAAGAACTAAGTTTGCATGGACCGTTAGCTGGCAGCTTAGACTGATTCTCCTCAACCATTTTGATTTTCTTGTTTAATACAAAAATTAAAATTAATTTTTTGGTATGTGAAAAATTGTAACCGATTTCTTAGAAAATAATTCAACCTAAAAGTTTAACTGTTAGGTAAGATCCCTGAATAAGTTATTATATATTCATAATAGACTTATTTTAATTGATAAAGATATTGTAGTTATTTTGGGTTCTGATGAATACATGATAAGAAACAAACTATATATACTTCCAAAAAGACACGATACGTCGAACTGTACTTGATATATAGATATGTATGAAATGTTAATTTTAGCTGTCTGATAGCTAATTATCTGAAATTTCCCTTCTTTTTAAACTTAACCAGACTTTTGGATACCTCCAAAGGCCCCTCTCCCCAGGTCACACACTTTTATTTATGATAATCAAATACTTCCATTTATGATATGATATACAAACCTTTTGTCAAGTCAATATCAATGACCAACTAGTCCACGTGCCATTTTCATTTTTTTTCACAACAAAATTAACCTTGACCAGCTAGTCTGTAGACTCTATACCCTATTAACTAATTTTAATATGATATAATAATACCCTTGGTATATTTCTCTCCCCTATTTCATGCAATTAACTCATCTCCAAATCTACCAATAGTTCAATTTGAGTGAATGGATGTATTTTAGGATTTTGGTTCAAAGAATGCAAAATGAATAGAGGTGCACCGTTGTAATTAATTAATCTTGCAAATATTGTTGGTATTTTAATGACAACTGTTGAAAG